GGTACAGGCCAGAGATACAGGGGCGGTGAGAGGATTCACCAGAGACAGAGTGGGGAGCAGAACAGGCTGACAGATGAAGTACACTGCTGAAGGGAGCGGTAGGCAGGTCAGGAGAGGTCTGCACCAAGCAGGTCACCTCCAGGGCAGGTGGGGATCAAACTCATGCAGAAGTGGCTTTAGCTTTTTAACGCTGTGCTTTAACCCACTGCACCACCAGAGAGGGCCCGGAAACTTAGAAATTATTAAAAAATGGCATGAATATTTGCATGTGGCTTTTGACCTCTAGGTCTAATAGTAAAGAGTTTTTCATCTTGAAAGTAGAGTACAAATCTACAATAGATATTTTTTAGACTTTAGATTTCTAATAGTGCAATACATTTCCTTTGCAATTCATAGGGACTTATTTTTGTTCTGTATCCTGCCACCACTACATGGCCGGTGTTGAGATAAACAACCCAAATGTCATTCCTTTCATCCTCTGTATTCTATGATTTGATCCAGAGTTCAGATGGTCTTCATTATGACACTATTTTCATATTCTTCCTTTGCAAAAGAAAATAATGGCAAAGGAAATTATAGGGAGATGCAGATTTTTTAAAAAAGATATATTTATTTATGCATACAGAACTGGGGTACGGGCCAGAGGTGCAGGGGCGGTGAGAGGATTCCCCAGAGAGAGTGGGGAGCAGAACAGGTTGACTGACAAAGTACACTGCTAAGGAGGGGAGCAGTGGGCAGGTCAGGAGAGGTCTGCCGCACCATGTGGGTCAGCTCCGGGGCAGGGATCAAACTCATGCTGAAGTGGGTTTAGCATCTTAGTGTTGTGTTTTAACACACTGCACTACCAAGTGGGTCCTGGAAAATGCAGATTTTTACCATGTGTTGAAGTCAAGACTATAAGTGAGCATGTGCCTCTGGTTTTTAAATCCAGTGCTTTAATCTAATATTGGTTCAGAGACATGTGTTATGGCATCAGAAAGGGTTTAAAGCAAGGATTTACAGATTTACAGACTTACAGTAAAGGCAAAAATAGAAACTGGACCATTGGATGTTAATTTCTTTAGTTATGAAATAAGGAAATGACCTCACTCCCTAGATCTTTCTCAGCGTCTCTTCAAGTCTCTTTAACCTCCACTTACGCCTTTAACATCTGTGTTCTCAGCACTCTGTTCTACAGTCTTTGCTGTGACCATGTCTGCATACACTCCTTGAGTAACTTAGTTTAAGTCAGACTTTAACACGATATTGTATCCACCCTGACAGTCTTTGCCTTTTAGTGGTGTATGTCAATTATTTACGTTTAATTAGTCACAAGTTTAGAATTTTTGCCCTAGATTTTTATGGTCCTTGTCCTAGATTATATTGTTTAAGAGACCACCTTTGCAAGTAACATTTTCTGATCAGGCAAGTTAAGTTCTCCAGTGAGTGGTGAAAGTAACCATATGTGTGATGTTGTTGAGAAAGTTATATTGGTGGGCCCTCCCTGAGGGCACAGAGGTTCAAGCGCAACACAGCAAAGTTTGCTGCTGCCGCTTTCGTGCTAGTTCAATCCCCCCATCCAGGTGATCTACATGCATCACCCACTGCTGCCCTCAGCAGTGTAGTTTGTTAATCTGCCTGTTCTAACTGAATTTGGTGAATTCTCTCACCACCCCTGCACCTCTGGCCTATACCCCAGTTCCGTATGCATAAGGAAAAAAATATCTTAAAAAAAGAAAAAGAAAAAGTTATATAGGTAACACCAATATAGCAAAATAAAAGTTTCTTCTATTTAAATTTCACAGAAAAACTAAGTTAAGCAGTAAAGACAGTAGATGAAGTGCTACAGAATTATAAAGTGAGTCAGATTTAAGCAATATATTTTAGCAATATATTTGCTTCTTCTGAACCATAAAACTAAATTCCTTAGACCCTCCCTGGTGGTGCAGGGGGTTAAAGCACAGCACTAAGAAGCTAAAGCCACTTCAACATGAGTTCAATCCCAGCCCTGGGAGGTGACCCACATGGCATGTCAGACCTCTCCTGACCCACTTGCTGCTCCCCTCAGCAGTGTACTTCCTCCATCAGTCAGTCAGCCTTTTATGCTCCCCAGTCTGTCTCTGGTGAATCCTCTCACCGCCCCTGCACCTTCTGCCTGTATCCCAGTTCTGTATGCATAAATAAATAAATCTTAAAAAAAATAAATTCCTTAATCTTTCTAAACTTCAATCTCTTCATCTGTAATAGAAATGTGCTGATTAAGTGAGATAACTAACAATATACACATACATATGCTGATTGTGTACACACACATGCACACACACCCACATATATAATACGTCCCTCAGCTAGGCAATGGGCTTTTAGCATAAGCTCATTTCCATTTGAAATCATGGCATGCTTAGAACAGAGTATGAGAAATGTTAACTCCTCTCTTCCTCCCACATCACACACGTCTCCTAATCCCCCAAAATTAAAGAGGTAAGAGGAATTAGTGCCGAAGGATGCTTGAAGGTGAAAGAAGCTATCTCATCTTTTTCAACACTGAAGAGCACTTCTGCATTTTTCCTTCAGCTTTTCAGAGTCTGAGTCTATAAATTGAACTCCTGTGAATATCAGCAGCTCTGCAATTGTTACATGACTGATTGCTATAAAACACAGTTGAAAACATCCACCTCTAAAGTGAGTTTCTGGATACATGGAGAGGGTCTGTTCCAATAATTATCAGGTATCTCTGGACACCCATCCATCGTTAGCAGTATCCCGGTGGGCAACCGACAGCCTGCAGGATGGTGACTCCACTAGCTGTGGCACATGGCCCAGGTGTCTAGAAGACTATATCCAGGTTAGTGTCAGTTCTCTCTATGACGTTCACACATGGACACTATCACTCAACAACACATTTCTCAGAGCTTATCCCTGTTGTTAAGCAACACACTTTGCAAGTGTGTCTTTAGGAAAGGCCAGGAATAAGCACTTCAAAGACATTTTAGAAATGTGACTAGTTGACTGAGAATAGAAGCCTTTCCCATAGAACATTGTGGAGGAAGCAAGGCCTCGGTTGGCTCATCTTCTCCTACTTCTTTTCATGCCCTTTGCGATGTTTCGAGTATCAGCCCTCCTGACACCTGAGGTGGGACAGTTGTTTGCTTTCTTTTTAGACTTCGTTTTATACTCTTAATTGCATCTTTCTTAAGCAGTTTCTATTTAAAAACTATTTTTTCTTTCTCTCTTCTCTTTACTCAGAATGTGCTTTTATGTAGCTTATTACTGTTCAGTTAAAAAAGAGTTGGGGAGAATGATTCATTAAATATATCAATGGTTAATTCATGGTCTTGATAGTACCCTGACTAGCAGGACTTTCATTGAAACCTGGAGGACTTGAAGATTGGACAATACCTGAATTTAAGAAATGAATATTTGTAACATAGACTTTTAAGCTCCATGTTTGTGTGTGAGGGATGTTAGTCACAGATTCACTCCTGGGACCCCTTAAATCACATGAGGGAGCAGCCACCCTCCCTGCTAATGTGGCATTTCAGACACTGCAGTGGTTACAGCCTTAAAAATCCATACATAGGCAGCAGTGACTTACACATTTTTCTCTGTCATTCCACTTGACCTTACTGGCAAGAAGAGGTAGGGGAAAACAAACTGGGGAGGGGTGGGGAGGAGAAAGGGGGCGGGAGAACTTGATTAAGACTTCTGAGTTGGGGGTAGAGAGTTTATTCTCAGCGCTATAACCACCTGAGTTAACCTGAATTTGATCCCCAGCCAGGGAGTTAATTCACATACTGCATGACAGACTTCTCTTGTCTCCCTCACTGCTCCCTTCAGTAGTATATTTCAGTGAATCCACCTGCTCTGTTCCCCACTCTGTCTCTGGTGAATACTCTCACCTATCACACCTTTGGCCTATACCCCAGTTTTTCTATGTACACACACACACACACACACACACACACATACACACACACAGACTCCTGCATTACTTATTAAAATTTAATCTTAAATATTTTCACTGATGACTTTTAAGACAACATATATAAAATGTGTAAATGTGTTAAGAAGAGACTACAAATCAGTAGCTCAATACCTTAACCCCTACTAGTCTTAAAAAAAGAAAAAAAGATTTATTTATGCATACAAAACCTGGAGTGTAGTCCAGAGGTGTGGGGGGAGGGGTGATTAGAGGATTCAACAGCGGCAGAGTAGGGAACAAAACAGGCAGGTGTACTGAAATATACTGCTGAGGGGAGCAACGAGCAAGACAGAGGTTTGCTATGCATGTGGGTACGCTCCTGGGCAGGGATAGAAATCATGCCCCAGAGGCTGGCAATAGCTTGATATTGCTGAGACTTTAACCCCTGCGCCACCAGAGAGGCCCCTCCATACTGCTCCTAAATGAAGAATTAATTTTAAATCTTAGAAGGCACTTTTTGGAGAGTAAACAGGCTCATTTTTACAAAGCTTATGTTCCAGACATAAGCTATTTAAGTGACTATATTTTTGAAGAATCCCAAAGTCCTCCTTTCCTCAGGATTTCTGGGAAGCACAGTAGCCCTAACTTATAGGGGAACAAAAGCTGAAGCCTACAGATGTGGGAGACCAGTTCTAGGTTATGCAGTGAGTTCCCAAGTGGGGAAGAGGAACTTTGCCTTGGAGCTAAAGTGAGAGCACTCTCCCATCCTTCAGCTGTAGAAAAACTCTGCTGGTCAAAGATGGGGTGGGAGCTGGCGTGAGGTCACAGTCAGCCTCCTGGATGATGATGCCTGGAGTTGGTTGAGATTGGTCAGAGAGGATTTATAAGTCGTGGCAATGCTTTAATTTATGTCAGTATGTGGCTTCCGCTCTGTTAGTCCAGCTGCTTTCTCCCTGTTCCTCTAACAGGCAGCCTCATTGCTGGAGATGACTGTCAGCTGCTCTCGCTGCGTAGCCACCATCACATGCTTCGCCACTGGAGCCTGGGAAGCCTGACTACCAACCAGCCTCTCCGAGGCATGAATAATTAGGTAGGCATAATGGAAGGCACTCACTGCACCCTCCAATTGCAGAAGCCCATTACAGAACTCTGCTACATCAGCTTCTATCTTCCAAGGGGGGACGTCAGAGGATTTTCATACAAGGGCACTGTAACTCTAGACAAATCCAATAAGGGTTTTCATAACTGCTACCAAGTCAGGGAGGGGTCAGACTTTATTAGCCTCAGCCTGCAGCCGAACGAATATCCAGGAGACATATTTTTCAAGCAAACTCCCACGAAAGACATTCTCGCTGAGCTCTACAAACTCACGGCGGAGAGAGAGCGACTGCTGTCCAGTCTGCTGAGCTCAGAGCACATCCTGAGGATTACCATGGGGAATCAGGAGGGGAAGCTGCCGGAGCTGTCTGTGAGCATGGCTGCTGAGGATGACTCTTTCCAGAATGCTGGTGACTGGCACTGGCATGGGGAGACCCCCGTGAGCTGTCTCAATAAGAGAAGGGTCCATGGGAACAAAAAGCCTCGGAGGTTTGGTGGAAGGAGAGAGAGCTTTGAGGACCTTCCCCAGAAGAGGACAAGAAGAAAAGGGCGTGCGAGCCAGGAATCTGCTCCTCAAACAGGCAAGGAACAGGTCCATTCCAGTGACTCTCCCCCTCGTTCTAGACCTAGGCCTGATCTGTGGCTTCTAGAGGAGAGAGGCACCTTGCTGCCAAATGGAGCAATTACTTCTCCCCTCCCGAGGAGAGAGAGCATCCCCCCAGAGAGTTCCAGGACACTGGACTCTGACTCTGGCTTTGGGAACTTTGAGACGGCTTCTGAGAAAACCAGCCGTGGAAGACCAGGGCTGGCCTCTGATAGTAGCTCCGTGGAGTCAGGAGCTGGAGGTGCTGGGGAGCTGCAGAGGCTGGTGCCTCAGCAAACTGATTTACCTGAAAGTCACAAGGATCCTGAGAAGCATCCAGAGACAGAGAAGGGCAGGAGGGGGAAGTCTACTCAGCGGACTTGCAGGAAGAAACCTGTTTCCAAAGTGGTGGCCAAAGTCCAGGATCTGTCCACTCAGGTGCAAAGAGTAGTTAAAACACACCCAAAGGGTGAGGGAAGGATTGTTGTTGGCCCCGTGGCCCAGGCCGAGTTTATCCCCAGAGCAGAACTGTTCAGGCTCCCAAGAGCTGAGGCTGGAGCCCATGGTTCCAAGCAGCCAGGCAAGAAGCAGCAAGGGGATCGGCCATCGCAGGGGTTGTCCAGGGAGCATCCGCCCGCCAGCAGCCAGGCGGCTGTGAACAAGGTCCTTCAGAAGGTTATAGAAAGCGAGAAGTTAGATGAAGCCACCGAGGGGAAAAGACTGGGCTTCCCTGTCAAAACAACAGCCACCCATACCCTCCCAGACACCAGGAGCAAGAAGAGAGCAGGGCTGCTTGTCAGTGGCCACAAAACCTTGCTTCTGGATCTGCCCCAGGGTGTAGGCCCTGATTCCTCACTACCCAGAGGTGATGAGGAGAGGTTGTCCCCCCCAGCACTGGCAGCTGTCGGCATGGTATTTAATAATTCATCCTCTCCGTCCGTAAACAAACGGGTGTCACCTGTTCCCTTGCCTGCCTCTCCAAAGCTCCCAGGCCCTCAACAACACCACAAGATACTCCGGCTCCCTCCCTTGCCTGGCGAGAGGGAAGCTGCTCTTGATGACGCTGCTGGTAGAAAGAGTGCTACCTTCTTTGGGTCTCCCCCAGCTGACACCTTGGAGTCCTCCTCGGCAAAGGTCACGGCAAAGGTCACGGAGACCAAAGGAGCCAGCTCAGCCTCTCTCAGAGCAGGCCAACCGCGGCTGGTGTCTGGGGAACTTTTGGAAAAGAGCTTGGGGCCCAGGAAGACCACAACTTGGCTGCAGCCCCGGTCACCTCCAGGTTAGTCCCTGTTCAAAATTTCTTAGGGTGATGGTCAATTGACCTGATAGCAAGCAAACCAGGAGATGATGGAGATGATGAGGATGGTGTTGACTTCAGCATCAGGTGTTGTTGCTTTCAGAAGCAATAGTTTATGAAAGTCTTTATGGTATTATTATTTTTTAATTTGAGTGTATTCTACAGCTATCTCATGGTTGCTTAGCACATAACCTTTCCCGGAAATAGGACCAGCAGAGAAAAGTAGCAGCTTGTAGCTGCCTTTGATGCAAATGCTGGGTAAATGGCCCTTTGACTTCCATGCTGCTGGAGTTGCCTGGGTTTGCAGGGATTCAGGAAGCAGAAGAGCAAAAGCATATTGTGTCTCTGCCCACCCGTCTATTACAAGTTTCGTGTGTTTGTTTTCTAGTAGTCACGTGACCTTAGTAAGTGTTTTTATTTTATGACAAAATTATTTCTTTGGCCAGAAGGATGAAGTCAGTAAATTTTAAAGCTACTTGGTTCAGATTTTTGTTTTTTACTCAGTTTAAAAAAAAGAAAAAAAAAACTCTGAAACACGTATGAAGTAATCTTTATTCTGAAATTATGTTTTATTTATGGGTTACTACTGTTAATGGCATAACATCATTTCTTATGCAAAAGGTGCTAAAGAGCTCATCTGGCTGTGTGTGTAATGTAATTTAAGATTGTACAAGAAAATAATTTCGGAGACATTGTAAGTGGGTTCAATGAGAACACAAAAGACAGTAAGTGAGCAGTGGCATTTTCCAGGCCAGTGTCACCAAAGGCCTCGGGTCTTATCTGTCATTGTGTAGTAGCTTCTTTTTCAGTGGCCTTTTCACTGAAAAAGCATATGGTCAATGCTTTGTCTAGCGACAAGCCCATAAGATAACATGGTCTTGTAAGGGGAGAGACACATCACCTGAAACCTTCAAGACGAAGTACATACACAGAAAAGAGGAATTTCAAATGCTTTCTGGACACTCTCTCAACATTTTGTAAGTTTCTCTAAATGGTTGATCCAGGGGCAAACTTTTAAAAATGTGGTGAATGCGTTTCATCTTGGTTGAAATCTATTGGTCTAATTTGACAATACATGTTATTTTTTATAATACAACTGCTCTGCTTTACCTGGAACGTCATAGAATTGTAAATTTAGCATCATGTGTCATAGATCTTTGGTGATGAAAATTCTTTTTCTCAGTGAATGCTGGAGCCTTTGAAATACTTGGAAAGGAGGCTTTCTGCAAATATTAGCTGAGAGACTTCTGGAGGCATGAGGGTGGAGTGGATGGTGGGATTCTGAACGACCTTTTGAGAAATCACACCAAATTCTCGGATTCTGTGTTTCCCTCAACCGGAAATTGCATTCAGTACACTGAGCTACAGTTAATCCTTTTTCCCCGATTTGGAATTATCTTTTTACTTTATTGTCCCTTTTCTCTAATATAATAAAGATATTATAAAAGCTCCATTGTATCTGGGTCAAGACAGGCACACAGAGGGCTGTCCTTTTCTATGGTAACTGACCATGAGCCACTAAAGTGCAAGTACAGCTGATGGTCTTATGTCTTCTTGGCTGCTCCGTGCACTTGCTCAGAATTCTCCATTTTCTTTAATCCCTTGGGATCTTCATAGCACTTTAAGGAACCAGTTATTAGAATCATAGGGATTCCCTTATAGGAGGTCGCTTGTGCTTCTAACCCTCTGGAAGTGGTTGGAAAGGGAAAGGACAATATGAATGTGGAGAGACCCTTCTTTTCCTGGCATTGGTAGTTTCTTTTCTTTTTTAAAGATTTATTTATTTATTCATATAGAACTGGGGTACAGGCCAGAGATGCAGAGGGTGAGAGGATTCACCAGAGACAGAGAGGGGAGCAGAACAGGCAGATCTACGAAGTATACCGCTGAGGGGAGCTGTAGGCAAATCAGGAGAGGTCTGCCGTGCCATGTGGATCTCCTCCGGGGCAGGCTGGGATCGAACTCATGCGGAAGTGGCTTAAGCTTCTTAGTGCTGTGCTTTAACCCTCTGCACCGCCAGGGAGGGCCGGTAGTTTCTTTTTTTCTGGGACACCCCCAGGATTCCCAAACATCATCATTTGTCATCCCACCTTTCTTTTTTGTTTACTTTATTTATTTATATTTTATATCATTTTTTAAAGATTTATTTATTTTTGCATACAGAATGGGGGTATAGGCCAGAGGCACAGGGGCAGTGAGAGGATTCACCAGAGACAGAGAGGGTAGCAGAACAGGCAGACTGATGAAGTCTGAGGGGAGTAGCGGCGGGTCAGGAGATGGCTGCCACGCCATGTGGGTCACCTCTGGGACTGGGGATTGAACTTGCACTGAAGCGGCTGCGGTTGGCTTGCAGTGATGGGTCCTAACCTGTTGCGCCACCAGGAAGGGCCCATCCCACCTTTCTTTGTTGTGCCACCAGGGAGGGCCCATCCCATCTTTCTTTGAATAACATGAAGAAAGGGACTTTTCTGCATAGTGCATTTGATTGGTAACATGTACTCTTGTACTCTTCTCTCTTTAATTCCCATTTTCTGTGGCCTTCATAGTCTGGACCCTTCACTGGCTTCCTGTAACTGATGGGCCAGTGCTGGGAGACTTTTCCTGCTCCCACGTGCCTTTGTCTTCCACTTACTTCTGCTTCCAGTCCATTCCAGCAGAGACCTCAAGGCACAGCAGCCCAGATGACAGGTGCATAATCCATTTACTTTCACCAAACAATGAAACTTTAGCTGAATCCAACTCCCTTTTTCCCCCCATGGTAGCTATTAACCAGGTTGAGTTTATGGTCTGTGAACACTGATTTCCTCTGGAAATAGCAACTAGGTATTTTACTGAAGTGATGTGATTAAGATTATTGAAAGGACTCATTAACTGCTCAAGTAAGAGATTAAGTCTGGCAAAAGTAATCAGATCTATTTCCAGTTGGAAGACTCTTTATTGCTATAGGCAAGTAGTAATTCCCAGGAAAGAGAAACCCACTTCTCCAGGCTCAAGGAGTTAAAGCCAAAATTACTATCCACACAGGAAATAGAATATAGATATTAGAGAGGCTATAGGTCCACCTCTTAGAGTCTTTGTAATTGTCCTGCTCGTTCATCTCTAGCAATTTCTTGTCTGATGGTAATATGATTATAGGGAATTACTAAAAATGAATGGTGGCCAGGCTTGTCCTCTCAAGATCCTCTCTCTCCCCCACTTTGCCACTGATTTATTTTGTAAATTGTTTTTTGTTTTGGTGATGGAAAGAGCTGTAGAAATGGAATGTGTTATTTCCTCAAGCCTTGAGGGACTCTGGTTTTGCTAGCCTGCAGAGCAGTGTCCTTGGGGCTGAGAACTGGGATTTTTATCTAGTTTGTTTGCTTATTTAAACCTTTGATCAGTCTACAATAGACCTTTTTGATATCAGAAGAATCACATGGAACTTGATTCACCAAACTCAAGAAAATGCCTTGTGCTTCATGTGCTGCTAGGTAATTTCATGATCTTTTCCCTTTGATTGAAGTCATTGAGCTGGTGGTATGCCCCAGGCATGGTTCTTCTTGGTGCTATGAATCATTTGATCCATTCTGTGTCTATCAAAGGATGTAGTTATTGTCAATTCATGAAAGGTTTAGAGATGTACTTTTTTTTTTTAAAGATTTATTTATTTGTACATACAGAACTGGGGTACAGGCCAGAGGCTCAGGGGCGGTGAGAGGCTTCACCAGAGACAGAGCGGGGAGCAGAACAAGCAGATCGACGAAGTACACTGCTGAGGGGAGCAGCAGGCGGGTCAGGAGAGGTCTGCCACGCCATGTGGTCTCCTCCGGGGCAGGTGGGTATCGAACTCATGAGGAAGTGGCTTTAGCTTCTCAGTCCAGTGCTTTAACCCACTGCGCCACCAGGGAGGGCCCTAGAGATGTACTTTTAACAGGTTTTACTATGTCTAATGTTACGTACATATATTATAGGAAGTAGAGGTAAATTCTTCCCATATTAACATTGAGGTTTCATACTCTCCCAATGAAATTTTAGAGACAGTTCACTGCCTTAATGATTAAATGCAGCCATTTAAGGTTACTAGAGATGAAATGCAGTGCATAGAAAATTAACTGTAATTAATGGTAACAGAGAAAATAAGATTCAGATGTTGCAGATAGCATATTCTGTCCCTATAAAAATGCAGGACTTAAACTATCAGGGAATGGATTGCTATATTCTTTTGAGAAAGTAAAGGACTCATAACTGAAACTATGTAACTTTGTTTAGCAAACCTGCTGGTAAGAATTTAACTTGTTTAAACAGGTATACTGCTGACAGTATATGCATAAGGGTGTTTACTATAATAGTGTTATTGATCATGATAAAAACAGCTGGAAAAATGTGAAAGTCTGTCAGTATAGAAAAGGCTAGTAGATTGTAGAGTCTTAATAAGGCAAATACAAAGGCTTCTGGGTTAGACAGGATCTCCTAGGAAATAGACACTCAGGTTTGAAGAACAAGGGCAAAGAACTTTGATTACAAAGTAATGAACTAAGTCTTTACCACTAAGTTGCAGAGTTGTATAGTTTTATGAAAAACATGTATCATCCCTCTCTATAGTTATCTATGTTTGATTTGACTGAATATCATGGAGACGGGTGTAGAAAAAGACTAGCCATTACGTTCACATTTTTCATCCAAGTTGAATGGGGGTGGGCTAGAGGTTGGAGTGAAGGGGGGAAGAGCCATAAGGTTGGGGAAGTCCGTTAACATCTTTGCATGTTTATTTTTTTAAAGGTTTATTTGTTTATGCATACCAGAGCTGGGGTGTAGCCCAGAGGTGCCGGGAAATGAGAGGACTCACCAGAGACAGAGAGGGGAGCAGAACAAGCAAAATCTGCTAAGGGGAGCAGTTGGTGAGACAGGAGAGGTCTGCTGCACCATGTGGGTCAGCTTCCTGGCTGGGGATCAAACTAGTGCTGCAGTGGCTGGTGATAGCTTCACTTTGCTGAGACTTACCC